TTTCATAGTTCAATCCAAATATTCAATTATTCAATTATATAGTTAATAATTTATAATTTATATAGGTATGTGTTACCACTGTTACCTACTATAAAATTATAAAAGTACCAACTACCAATAAAAGAAAAAATATAGGTATAAAATATTACAAAATTGTATATTGAAAATAATTAGGTTGATACTCAAGATAAGTGCGTAGATAAGTGAATATAGCCAATAGTCATTAACAAAAGTTAAATTAAATAATGCCTAATAATATAATAGTATATAATAATAAACGGTCCAAAGAAATTAATTTCAAAATAATTAACAATCAAAATATTAATTTACATTTGTAAGATAGGTAAAGCAATAGTACCCTCGCTATACAGTTTTGATACCTACTGGCTTCTGTTATTTTGAAGCTTAATGATAATTATTACAAATCTTACTTCTAATCTTGGCAAGACTACGTGTTAAATATTAATGGATTTTGACACTTTTAACCTTTGAACAAATGTGTAGATATTGTATGCATATACTTTGAATGCGTCTAAATATTTAATATGTTATTGTTGTATAGTAAAATTAAGAATTTAATATGTTTGCAATCCGATGACCGATAGTATATATTATATTATCTTATGCAGATTGTTTCAGTTTAAAATTATAAATATTGCAGCGTAGGTACCTTTAATTGGTACTACGTATTGGCACAGTGATCTGAACGTATATTTATAGATCATTTAAACGCAATTTACTTCATAATAAAAAAATGGTATACATATAGGTGGATTAAAATGTATTTAGGCGTATGATATTTTTATTTCAAAGAAATATTAAAAACAAATTATGTATAACATGATATATTAATAATATCTATGTACCTATATGTGCCTATATAGTATTTAGTATACTACCTATATAACATTGCAGCCATTGCCTATTAATAATATAACATACTACCGATCTATACACTGTATATATGTCAACTTAACTATAATAATTTATAACGTATATAAATATTACGTATGTAATATGGTCGTTTTATTGGACAATATGTATAAACAAAAAAATTAGTTGGTAAATAAGTTCGAATAATCTATATATACCTACTTTATAGTAAACTATATACCTATAGCTTCATCTATATAAAAATAATCATGTTTTTTTTTAAATTCACAAATTTTTCAAGGAAAGTGAAATTGTTACGTAAGTAGGTAGGTATATATGATTGTAGTCTGTAGATAATAATTACTATTTCTAATTTTATATTTAGACGCTTAATACTTTTATTTTAATGTTGATTTACAAATAACATKTATTGGGCCATTACAATAAATGTTTATTTATACAAATTTTAAGTTTAAGTAACAAAAATGCATATAATTTTTTTTTTTATTGGTACTTCATCAACATCGTGGTTATTAGCTTACAATTGATTAGGTTACATATTATATGGATTTTTTATATGATTATTAAGAGAAGCAGCATATAATTGTATATATTATAGTCTTAGGGGATACTCATCGTACTGCACTATATTTCACTCCGTCAAATCTATACTATGCGTATATAATTTATAAACATTATTAGTAAGAAGTTCAAATGTTCACATATAATCGACAAATGCCTGAAAAAAATATTGTTTGCCAGAATACAAAATTATGAGCCATGGTTTTTATTTAAAAAAAGTTTATTGAATATAATGAATTTTAATAAGTAATAAACATAAATTTACTAACAAATGAGTCTTACATTTAAAAATTTCATTGTACAAATATTAATACGATATATCATGTAGATGGATTTGGGAAGCAAATAGGAGGTACGATGAGGTATAATTTAAAGATTTGAATAGATTAGAGTTATAAAAAATATGTACAATAATTATGAACCAACCAATATATTTAATATTTATATTATATAATATAATATATTATCCAGTTTATAGATACATACCTATTTAATTTATATTTATAATATATAAATATAATTATTATTTTAGAATAGGTAATTAATTTAATAATATTATTAGTATAATTTTATTACCTATATTAACCTATGGTAGGTATTCAGTTGTATTATATAAGATTATGAACATATCACATCATGAGTGCATCAAATACGATTTACACTTTAATGCAACATAAGCCACATATATAATTCATAATATAAGATATAACATGTATATTAATACAATATACATTTTTAACTAACACACAAATTTTAAATCAAATGTTATATGTATAATAAACTCACAAATATTATCAAATTGAAGACAAATAACAAGTATTTGATTGCTAATGACGCTTTATTCAACATGATTTAGTAATCCTGTAATATAGATAAGTCTAACTGTCTAAGATCATTTATTTACTATACATAAATATGATTGTAATATTTCAAAAACGGTACGTAACTTACTAAAGTAAAAAATAAAACCGAGGATTCTTTAATACAATAACGATAAACAATATGACACAAAAAAATGTTATCGCACGTAGTGACACGTTTCCTCTGTTTTGAGTATTTAAACAAGTGTCATTCGCCAACTGCATGATAGTATTTTGTACATCATTAACTTGCATCTAGAATCATTGCAGCTGCCAATAAAATAATACATTTGTTTGTTTATTATGTTCATATACTATATCTACTTACGTATAGTTATATATTATATTATGCAACATATTTAGAAGTAGTCGTGTGGAATTAATTTCAATATCTACATTAGGGAAGTATCGTTGAGTACCTATATATACATTATTATAATTTATACATTGATAAATGATAATACATTAATATTGGATGATTGTCATTTAAAATATACGGCTATATACGGGGTGATTCAACAAAAATGATTATTTCGATGTTTTCCTTTAATTTTGAATTCTTTAAAATTCTGATTTTTGAATTTTTTAAATAATCTTATTACATTTAAAATACTTGAATTTAATTATACCTATAMTATTCAAAGTGTGCCATATGGCGATGCAGACTTCTATTTTTTTCAAGTGACAATCCCTATATACTATAAATATATACATGGATATTTAGATAAATGTATAGTAGTTTTAACAGATTAACGAGATGACTATAATATAAATAAAAAATTAAATTTATAAGTATTATATACATTAATTTAAATTAATGTAATTATAAATATAAAATATGTAAAACAACACAAATATAGGATTATTGAAATATTCCAATAGCAATTGTAGGGCTAGCTTATAAACGAWAATTGAAAAATATTTTCATACACCAAACGGTGAACATATTAATCGTGTATAAKTAATGTTATAATCAACAAATTTTAAAAGAAAATTTTAAACAAAAATACATCTATAACAGACCTTTAAAAATTATTAGAACTGATATTTATTTAAAAGTTGATATTGATGTACCAAATATTACGCACAATTATATCACATCGGCGCGAAAAGCAATTTATGACAAGACCTATAAGAAGAGAAAACAATACCCAATTTACTCTAAATGAAGCTATTTATTAATTTAAGAATAATATAAAAAATAATTATTTATGTTTCTTTAAGAACAACCTAAATTATAAATTTTATATCGAAACAAACCGAATTGATTGAATATCGTACTTATAATTTTGCACCAATATTTTTACATAAATAATTATACACATATTTACGTAAGCAGGTTTTATGTGTCTATTGCCTAATTTTTTTTTCTTACCAAACATAACAAAACAAATACACATTAAAATGTGTAAATATCTTTTGCAAATATATCAACCTTTTAACGTTCAAAAGCTGCAATATTTGAAGTTCRAAATCAGTGCTCACGAATCAGTCAAAGAAATATTTCCAAATGTTATTATTGAAACTCGCCATTTTCATCTAGTCCAAGTTTGATGGAGAAAAGTATAAGAAACACTAATAATTTTAGATTTTCAGTCCTTTATTTTTTACTAATAATTAATTATACATCTATTAACGTACCTATCTATATGACAGAAAAATGGAGAATACAAATTGTGAATTTTTTTATATAGGTATATAAAGACAAAAAATGATGAATTAGGTCAATGGTYTTAAATTATTTTTTGGTTTACCTTTTTTTCTTTCCACTGACTACGTTTATGATCTTACGGTAATATGTCCAGAGTTAGAAGGTGGAAGTTCATTTTCAGATTACTACGTGCTAACCATATATATTGAACATGATTCACTATTTTCACCAATTCCTTGGCAACAAGTACCATCATTAAATCCAAGGTACACAATAACCTAGTAACTTACTGTTTTGTTAATAGGTTCTTTAGGTACTTGTTAATATATTTAACTGCTATTATTTGGTCTGCATGTTAATAGTAATTATTTTATTTTTAAAAACCTCCAATTGAGCAGAAAATCTTCACAGAACTTATACCTACAAGCTACAACTGGTACCAATTTTATAGCACTACGCATCCTCCTACATAATATATGTACCTATAGTGATATCTGTTTTGAAGAAAACACAAACCATTTAATTCAAAACTTTGAACTCAAGTATTAGACTAAAATATTTACAAACGTTTTTGACTTAAAACTGTTTTTAACAATATATTATTATTAAATAATTTACAAAATGTTAATATTTGTATAAAATATAATTAATAGTGATTTAAATATTATGATGGGATACATTATCTGAAGTCTGTATATAATATAATACTTTTACACGCTGCTACAAAAGTAATTAATGATATAACATTATGTATATTTTAATGTTTCCAAGTAACAAATAAGTATTATATAGGTACCTATMCWTWTTAATTTATAGTTAAGTTTCTTATGAAAAATTGAGTTTTATTTGTTTACCAGCATAGTATATTATCATGAGTGATGATGATGATTCAAAAACTTTAGATCAAAATGATGATAGTAATGTAAATGATATAAATCAACAAATATACGAAACAACCGATTCTGATCAAAGTGGTAATTATTATAATTTAAAAAGCGTAATTTTAAAGTCTACCTAGTTCTTAATAACAATTTAATCAAATTAATGCTTATACATTAGTTACATTTCTTACAAATCCGAACTAATGATAACTTGAAATAGTAAATACTAAGTAGGTAATTATACAAAAGTCATCGATGGTCAAAATGTTCATAGATTAAAATATTATTGTTTCTCAGTCTTACAAAGTCCAAACCCAAGTCCACAATCATCTGACGTTGTCAATCAAAGACGAACAAGTTTACATCCATTAGAAGAAGTAGAGCTCAAAAGAAGAGTTAAAAGAAAGAGGACCTCGTCTGCACACGGCGGTCAACTGTTATCTGCAGATGAAAACAATGATGAGGAGAATCAAAGTCAACGATCGCCACGGCAGTCAACAGCCGGTAATAAAAATACTCTTAACATAAGGATGTCCTCGTTGTTGTATGAAGGTTATAGTTCAGTGACGTCAATTGATAGTAGATATTTAGATAGTCGTCGAACAAACGAAAAATGGAAAGAATTTGTAGTGTTCATGTACACTGAACCATCAATAATGTTTTATTCCAACATTTTTTTAATAGTAAGCATAAGTTAAATAGATATTATATTTTTTCTAGATAATATAGGATATTTTTTTAATATATTTTCGATACAGATAATTGTAACCTTGTGAACAATTACTCGTCTTCGTTAGTAGTTTAAAAATTAGAGTGAATCGATCAAAAGGTGTAATAAATTATGAAACTTGATGGTAAGAACAATAAGAACATATTAATACTATCTGAGTTTTTTACGATAGTTCAGATTTAATCGATTTATGAACATTTTTAATTTACGCTATATAATGATATAATTTATTGTATTTTAAATAAAAAAACTTGCTAAAAAATTAAATTAGGTARGTATCGTAAAAAACCTACGTACAAACACAGATAATGTTCTTGTCGTAAAGTTTCGTTGTAGGTTATATAGGTGATAGCAGGTCTATGGAAAAATCTAAAAGTTCCAACTTTCAACTTATACCGATTGAATAAAATTTTTTAAAWWWTTTAAAAAATTTAAATTGTATTCTTATATGCCTAGTATCTATATATCTATAATACATTATATACTTAATGTAAGAACAACTACTTACTTCTCAAATACCTGTCTTTGGATTAAATTCATAAAAATGTTTATTAATTCGTACTTGCTTATAAATAGCTTAAAATTATTCTAATATTTTGAAAATATCTAATAACTTATGTAATACAAAAGTGGATAATTTCCAAATTTAATATTTTTGAAGAACTACAAAATAAAAAAAAACATTACAATACGTGTATGACTTTGCTCAGAAAAATTACTATATTGATTTTCACTCAACTGTATAGTATAAATCCAGTAAAAACAGCTTAAGAACTATATACATTGAACTTTCAAGTTTTTTGATTTGGTAGGCCCCTATTCATTTTCTTCAATTAAATTCATAGAAAAAAAAGCGGGTAAGTCGTAGATGTCGCTCTGTTGTATAGTAGGTTATACAAGTGGGTTACTGTAATGGATGGAATTAAATTTGAATCCAATGATATTATATCATTGTATAGGAAAAACGATTCTGAGCGGAAACGGTTTATCTGTCAAGCATATATTAAAGATTATTAAAAATTTTCAAATCTTAGATTTAAAAAGAAAGAATTTTATGAATTTTCTAGCTTAAAATAATTTGCAAATTTTCGTGATTTTTACGTATGGTGTCAAAATTAAAATTTRAATGCWTRWAAAAAAAWT